TAAAATGAAATACAAAAGTCATTAATATATATTTAAGTATGAATATTTAAGTATAAATTATCAGAATACAATTATAATTAGCAATAACTTGATTAAAAATCAAAGAAAAAAAAGAAATAGTAAAAAAAAGTAACAATAGCAAAAAATTGTAGAAAAACCAAGCAATTAATAAACTAGACGTAGTAAAATATTATATTTGGAGCAATTTTTTAGCGTATCGTTTAATACGATTTACTTCATTCTGTAAAAAAAAAAGAAAAGAAGCGGCAGAGAAAGAAAAAACATCAAAGATACATATGTATATGTAAAGATATGTTTAAAATATCGACTAAATGGCCGAGTATTCGTCGAAAGCATGTTTATCTATGTACAGTTGATTGTCGGAGTCACATCGCACGTTATCCCGCTCTGATGCATGCATACTAATTAATTCTAATTCCATGCAGCTTCCTAAGTGACGACCTAATTTCGCACGATTGCGCGAATACAGCAGGTAGTCTGGAGTAAACTGCGTTCCGGCGAGTTTGGTGCAATTCTTGTGTCGGGAATTGGAATTTAGTGGATGTACCTAACGTGATTAGCCGATCGACGCGTTTCACGCGCGATACCGCTCGCATCGGGCAGACTTTGATCCGATATAATCCGCTTATTTTGCAAAAGGCCGGCAATTTAGTAGTGAAATGTGCGAGAAAACATGCGCACGTCGGAAAATGATGCATCATTGGTGCCATTGAAATTTTGTCATGAACACCTGGCGTCCTTTATGTATGAGGATTGATATCAGGAAGATCTAATTTCCTTCAAGTTACCACGCGAACAATCGTATAAATCAGACAAATCTATTTATCCTTGTCAAAGATATCCACGAAGAGATACAAAACTTATATAAGATTTAATTTTTTCGTAGAAAAAAAAAAATATATATATATATATCTCTTAGCACGATATAATTTGTCAATTGTTTTGTAAAATTTAAGTTAAAAAAAAATATTTTAAAGAATAATGTGTTCATTATGGATCTAATATAATGTGTCATATTTATAATTACATAGAAGAATTATTATACATGATAATATATGTATATATATATATATATCTAAAATATTAACAATGTATAATTTTCTTGAGATATTAAAATTTTTTGGAATTGTTGTAAACTTGTATAGCCATTATAAAAATGCGAAATATTTCAATGCTTTTAAAATTCTATTGAATTCGTGATACAAGGCAGCTTGCATTTAATAGTGTTATTTACGCCATGCTAATGTACATTATATGACATAAGAATATCATTAATCCAAGATCCAATATTTTCTATAAAAAACATATATTATTCAGTTGCTCATAACGGCTATTTCTCATTAAACAAATCAAATAAAAAAATGTAAATACTTCATATTTTAATTATAAAATGCGTTTTTCTTTTACATCTGTACATTATAATCCTGTTCTCCTTTATCAACTTGTCAGCTTGATCTTGCCCAGGAAATATCAAGTCCGCCTTCCGATATCTCCAATTAATTATTTGTAGCACAGTGAAACGGAAGGATGTCACTGTCAAAATGAGATAAACAGAAACATGAGAACTTGGTACTCTGAAATCTGTCAGTGGTAATTCACGCTGACATAGTACAGACGTAAGATATAATTAGAAACGAGATGTCGACAGGCGTGGTTGAAATATCACGCGATAAGTTCTAGTCTTTAGAGGAACAAAGTGTCGAGAGATGACCGTCTTTAAAAGAAATAATTAAAATCGTGACTAGCCCACGCGAATCGCTAGAATCGAAGAGGTCGCGCATGTTGGCGTAACAAAGTTTCGTGTTCCGCCGCGTTGGTTGCAGGGCAGTAAATGAAATTTTAGCGCAGCTTTCATTACGTGACGAGCTAGGTGCTGGATTAATAGGATTTTAATTACAGCCTTACCAAGATAAGCGCAGATAAATGTCATAACGAATATAAAGCTTGAACAAAAGTAGCACAAATGCATCTCCTTTACACTTAAATAGTGCATAGATGTATTTCAGACACATATTATCTTAAATAAGTTATTCATTTTTTAATATTATAATAAGTTTATAAACGTGTTCTATATTATTAAAATTAAAACATTTTTATCAAAATGTTCAAAATCGAACTAAAATTATAATTTCTGAATTCTTTCACTTATAAGAAGTTTTTATAAGAAAAAATTCTTGTAAAGAAACTAAGTTTGTAATATGTTTATCACGCATTCAGATTAGACTCTAAAAAGACAAAAGATGTTTTAAACCTATTTTATAGTATTCCTAACTATTATTATATTACATACTTAATAAATTTTCTGTAAAATGGTTATTAATTTATATGAAAAAATATTAATTTATAGTTATACTCACTATAAAAGCTTTTAGAAATTTATTAAAAATGCAAACGCATAGAGAGTGCATTAAAACTTGCATCGTTAATTTCTACCTCATTTTTGCATTAATTAATACACAACACAAAATGTCAACATCATTTTTGACATGATATATCTTAACTCAAATCTTGTAGTTTTTTTATCTTGTCGTAAAGCTAAGTTTTACAAAAGAGCAATTTAAAAAATAATTGATTATAAAATTCCAAAAGATTTGCAAGTTATCGTGATCTTGTATTATTTGTTTATGAAAAAAGATGATAATAGAAAGAAGTAACATACGATTACGGTAGTTTTACAAATATTGTAAATAATATTTATGTAATGAAGAATAATAAACACATTTCTAATCTTTTTTTCAATGTTGTTATAGATTCTAGATTATAAAAATAGTATTACATCAAAAAGATTCGAGGCTTTCTAGAGTTAATCGAACATCAATATTAGAACAATATTTTATCAAAGTGTGTGTAGAGTAGTGCACGAGTACGGATCATAATATATTATGAATAGCCAGCACAAAGTATAAAAGCTTTATCAGCTATTCGGCAAAAAAAGTCTATCTTGATGGTAAGCTCATTCTTCACAAATGACGAATTTACTGAAGCGGATGGATGATAAATTCTTGCCTGTGTCGAGACGTCGTGATTTTCACAACGTAAGCGTTTCAAACTTTAATGAGGTAACGAAAGAATTTCCTGGATCAAACGGTTCACTGAACAAAGATGGATTCGTGTCACGAGAGGAATGTCGAAAGGTGGAGTTAAACTTCGATGGCATTTCTAACGAAATTCCCATCAAACTTGTGAAACTCGATACCGCTGTAAAACTTGCAAACGTAGTAAAAATCTCAACGGACACTTAATAATACATTACAATATGACGCTAATTTTGAAAAAATATGCTGAATAAGGATTGTGCAGAAATCCAATTGCAAAATATTTTATGTTACACTTATTTTGTATAATTTATCAAAACACAATATTTTAATAAATTAATTAGGTAATTCAACGGTAACAATTTAATTAATAATAAAATTAAATTTTTAAAAATATCACTGATAAAAATATAGCAATAGTAATTAAAAATCTAATGGTAAGAGAGATGGTATAAGTAGTTTAACATTTAAAATTACGTTTACGGCCGTTTGAATCATAAATTTTCTGGTATCTAATATTTTATGCAAAATTTATCATAAACTTCAGAGAAAAGAAAATTTTTCTAATACAATATCTTCCTCGTCGGAAATTTCCATTGCGCACGTTAAGAGATGCTATATTAGTTTTATCTACCACAAAGCACCACGCAGTAGTACCTTCACTGCTGCGTACGTGACAATCGTGTTACTGTTTCTATGAAGGAAACGGATGCATCCTGAAATATCTCGCAAAGCATTTCATAACGCGATTATGAGCCATCCAGGTCTGACAATATCTAGAAAGCATCAGCTAAACAGAGCACTCCCTTCGTGCACTGTGATAGGTTCAATGAGACTTAATGAAAGCCTGCACTGTCGCATTAATTTATTCGCAAATGATCTAGCGCCGCATAATAAAAACGGTAAAAGAAACGGATTATGATATGAAGTTATTCCGCCGATTAATAGCGTAACACTTTGCGGTTCTCCGCAGCAGATAAGCAGATTGCAAAAGGAACGTCATCGGCGCCAGATGCAAAAGGAAGCTAAAGTTTACCGCAATTCCGCGGCTTCAGCTCCGTAAATCCAATGTAATGAAAGAGACGATCACGAAGTTATATATAGCGTGACCTCTTTGAGCCTTTTCGACAGCGAGGGCGATAAATTCTACATTTTTACTCGATAACGCTTCTTCAGTTTGAAGCTAGATTGTGCACGACAAAAAAAACTTTTATGCGTTTTTTTTATTCTTTTTTTCAACAGTTTTATTTTAATGAAATGTACCTGTGAGTTTATTTTCCATTTTTATTTAACTCCGATTTTAAATTGGAAAATTTTTTTCAACGACTATAAACATCGACTAGAAACATATAAAATGTATATTTGGTTCTAATAAAAATTTGTCTAATTATATTGGGTCATCTAAAAAGTATCCGCGGTTTTTTGTCACTAGATGTGTGTTGATGGTCATATATCTAGTGACAAAGTACCGCGGATACTTTTTAGATGACCCAATATAATTAGAAAGATTTTATATAATAAATAAAAAATTTAACTTTTAATATTCCTATTTCTTATATCATAATAATTCGCTGACCAAAAAAGTTTTTTTCAGCGTATAAGTATTTTTCTTCGCTAGAATGCAATATAATAGAAAATTAGCGTGCCTTTGTTTTTAACCCAATTTTGATACTAAAAATTCTTTCTGTTATATAACTTTATGCAAATATATGCAAACATTTCGTTGCATTAATGGCATCGCAACAAAATATTCAGTTTGATGAGGATACCGTGAAGGTTCTAATCTTGATATTCGGCGCTTTTTGATTTAATTATTCGTTCATCTTCATGTATTTATTTCTGAACGTTCAGACATGCATCATATCCCGCGTCGCGACTAGCAATAGCTTCTGGAAGATAGAGTTTCGTGGTTGGTAAAGTACATGTAAGATGATTTAAACTTACCTCCTCCCAGACGAGCTGTTTGCTAACCCCCGGCCGAAGGTTCATAATTTTCAACTCCGCCGCCTTTAACACACCATCTTGAGTGAACTCTACGTTTGGCTTTCCTTGATCACCCTCGACCGAAACGTTCTTCAAATATCTGGAGAAAGAGAGAGAGAGAGAGAGAGAGAGAGAGAGAGAGAAGGAGAGAGAGAGAGAGAAGGAGGGAGGGAGGGAGGGGGAGAGAGAGAGAGAGAGAGAGAGAGAGAGAGAGAGAGAGAGAGATAATGTGTTATAATGTATAAAGCAAGAACTGTAAACTTTTATAAAAATTATATTGAAAGATATTATAAAATATGTATTAAATGCAATGTGTATACATAATTCATATAATAAGATTATAATATTAAATTTATTAAGTAATGTGTAATAAATTTAAATCATTTAATAATGTAAACATTTTCATTTTGTAACATTACATAAAATAAATAATATATTGTATTATCCTGAGAATATAATTCTCAAACATTTTTACAAAATTCTGTTAATTAATTACAAAATTTGTAAAAATTTCCTATAATACCTTTTAAAGAAAATTCTAGTCTTGCTATTTAGAAAGTTCCGCATGAATGATGCATGAACAAATCTATTCACATTTTAGCAAATTGTGTGAAATTACTTGAAAAATAGATCCCCTGTGCTCCATCGTGATTCACCGATGCCTTCACAGCTCAGTTGAGTGTTCAAACTTTGTTTCGCATTTTTCGGATCATTGACAAAGTCCTCGACACCATAAGCGTAGACCTTGATTGCCGTGGTGATTTCGCTTACCAAACTCTCACTGCTCGTATCGAAATGTACACCTGCGGCAACAAGAAGAGATAGTGGATTTGTTAAAGCAATTTTATTACCAGCGAGATTTATATCAATTTGCACGATACCAATTCAATCATGCCAGTGTAAAGAAGATTTTCTATTCCTTTTTTTTTTGCTTTCTTTTATCAATGATAATCGGATAAAAACAGGCACACAACCAAATAAGCTTAAAAGTAATTTATGAAACACTGATTTTAATTTTCAATATAGAGCTTATTACTTAAACTTTCTTTGATAATTCATAATTTGCGATTTACGAAATTTGGATTTTTGAGATAACTGGACTTTAATTCGATTTGATATTTTTTTAGTTGTTTATTTTTAAATAATTTTACGATTCTGTTTGTATTAAAAACCTGTGTAAAAAATATATTTTTAAACTTGAAATACCAAATATTTATTTGTAATTTAATTAAGAAATAAGTGGAAAATGAATTTTGTACAATATAACTTAATAAAATAAACAGATGTATATATATATTAGGTGTTGGAATTAATTCGTAGCGTTTTTAATGAAAGAATGTTATTTATTTCACATGAGCATTAAAAAATACATTAATGAAAGTACTTCCCATCACTTGTAAAACGCTACGAATTAATTCCAACACCTAATATATATGTATAAAAAGAACAGAAGAATTTCATCCAAATTTATAAATTTTTTTGTTATTTCTGCTGTTGATTTTATGCTTTGCTTATATTTAAAAATATTTTTATATTGATTGTCTCTTTTTTATACATTCAAAGAATATATTTTTTTTCGTATAGAAACACGAAGAACTTGCGCTTTGTAAGATTTTATTCAACCAGATTTTTATGCGATACACTGCGCCAACTACATTTCCATAAACATCAAAAGTGTGAGCAGGATGCGAGAAAGAGAGAGAAAAATGAAGATAAATCGATGTATCACAAGGTTGAGAAACGTTGGCGATTCATGCCAGAGTTGCTTTCTTCTTTTTCTTCAACCAGAAGTTGACCCGTGAAAATCAAGTCAACAAAAATTTTCTATATTGTTTGAGTATATGTATTTCAAGACGATATATTCTTTGAAAATTTAGCGAGATACAGAAAAATCTTGAATTTCACGATTTCGTTTTGCAGAGCTGCAAATAGTGTATAACATCTTTTTGAAACACATAAAATTCTTACTTTCTTTCGTGTTAGCTAACGTGAGATAAATGTAGATTTATATGGATGAATATATATACTCTTGCAACAGAAAGAACTTACGAAAGGAAAAGACAGAGAATATTAAATATAAGCAAGCAACGTTTGCTTTGCTTGATTCGTAGCAATCGTGTTTTAAGAGCACGAGGTGTTTGCATTCTATATAGAACGAGTTTACCGCACTAGTTTTAGCTCGCAGAAATTCAGACGCGAGAGATTCAATCTAAGTTATGTTATTCTACATGGTTCACCAGAAGGAATTTGGCGAATTTATTTTTCTCTCAAGAATATTCTTAGAAAATTCTCAAGGAAGAAATCAATTTTCTGTTTCCGCGATTCTGGTCACGGTGTGAATAACTTTCCCGTTTAACCGCCCGAAAGCCATGCATTCTTACCAATAAAAGGCGTACTCCGAATGTTAACATATGTGTAACCGACGTAAATACTCCGTTTTACCGCGATGCCTAGCACATTCGAAAGAGATGTGAGATTATATATTATTTTAAATGAATTCTGTGTAATGATTAAATTAAAATTATTTTCGTATTACTGTGTACATATATATGTATTGTTTTTCTTTTAATTAGAAAAGATAGTTATTTTTAATTTATTTTCAACATAATATATATTTTAATTAAATTTTTATTATAAGTTTAATTAATTTTACGTAGTTTTATAATTTTTATGTAGTTTTAGACTAAAATATAATAAATACATATTTGATATACGTAATCCTTAAATTTTGTGAATATATTTTGATCTTCTTTTATAATTAATTATGAAACGAGAAAGAAGACCTCAGAAGAATTCTTAATTTTTCAGATATAAAATTATCGCAGAAAATTTTAGTCTAAAACTATATAAAAATTGTAAATTTAATTAAAATATGTCACAATTTTTATTTATTTTCGTGTAATTAACCGTTATAATATTGATTATAGTTTACGCACAATTTGACTAGAAGTTCGTACACATGAACCTCATAGTATTTTAAAATTAGAAGAATGTGTAAATCCAATGACCACGAACACATAAATACGAATAGTTTTGCTACTCACCTAACATTCCGACCGGAAACTGACTGGGAGTTTGTAGATTCTCGATAACGCTTTGCGTGACGACCCACACATAATTCTCGCCGGTAATTTTGTATTCCCTGGCAGCACTCAGGATTTCATTAGCTTCTTCTCTAGTCGAGTACAGTAGCATCACTCGTGACTCGCTGTTAACTAGCTCGAGCAAATCGTGCGGTTCGGTAACCAGAATGGCGCTCAGTATGGTGAACTTGAATGTGTCCTGCATGTCGGAGATTCTCTCTCTGACCGCCTGTATGAAGTCGTCGTGACCAGCTATTTGCGAGGTGACTACGCTAAACTGATGCCACTTGTACCTCTCCAGGATACTCAGCATCGCCGCGGTCTGATGTTCCAGCGACGGTGCCAGTTGCAGCTGCAGGCTACTCTGCGACGCTCGCTACAAACCAACGGAATTTCCGTTATGTTTCGTGAATGTTGACGAAGTACATGAACTATATGTTTATTTATACAAACTATATTTCAGTTCAATTTTAACTTCACTTTTATATGTTACAAAAAATATTTCTATGTGCAGAACAAGAAAAAGTAAATAGTCCGAACTTGCTTTATTGCAAACTGCTGTTTCATCTCATATATTTCAACTTGAGGCATTCTTTAACGAAAAATTCATCTATAGATATTGTTTACGCGCAGGAACATTAAAAGTAAAAAGTTCTTTTACTTTTTTCTCATTTTTGTTGTAATAACTTAACAGGGATTCCTAAGTAACCGGCCAATTGAAGAAAATATTGAGCGCTGGCCGTACTGCGTCCATATTGCTCGTAGTTCATAAGGTATAAGATGGCCGATACGTTCACCGAAAGAAAGTCCTTGCAAAGCGAGTCTAAGATAGCTGAAACACAAACAATTATTTCATGACAAATAGTAATTCTAATAAACATTCCGATTTTTTGCCTTATTTATTTCCTTATTATTAGAGGAAATTTAAAAAAATTTTTTTATTTTATTAATATCCATATAGTATCTCTTGAGACGATAATTATTCTCAATTATTTGGAAGTTACAAAGTAATATTCATGGAAATAACAATCATTTATGTTTACAATAAATTCCTTTTTTCGATTTGCTTTTACTTTTTTTTAATTTTACAAAGCGATTGTAGCTAATTGAATAAATATCGACGAACAATCGGTGCTTTTCTGCAAGTTACAATAATCGAGTAAAATCAAGTGGATTTTCTATTCATCAGTATCACTAAGCTCATTTCGTTGCACTATCGCTTAGTTGCTGGAATAAAACGGTACACGTAATTTTAATTTTTTACGACCACCATCTAGTTATGCCATGCTATTCTTTCCCGTTAAATTTATTTCTGCGCTTTTATCACACGCACGCCCATTTTCCGAAAAGCAAAAAGCAAAACGACTACCATAAATGTAGTCCAACCTATCTCACGCAGAAATACACTTGACCGACTGACCTCGTTTTGGTTACATCCTATTGTTTCGAAATACAAAGTATAATAGAAAGTTTAATTTTTTTATTTTGTATGATATTTCTTCCATTTGACGATCCAATTTAAGCAAACATCAAGGTCATAACACAGGATTGAGATTTTAAAAGAAAATGTAATGCAGGAATTCGATTTAAGTAAACACTTTAGATTATTCTTTTTATTCCTTTAAGAATTTTTTATTTTTATTTGCTTTTAACATAAAAGTAAGGATATTTTAATCTTTTGAACTCAGATAATATATTGCAATAATTAGAAATCTGTCATTAAAATTAAAATTGCTAATAAAATTCTAATGATAAATTTTCTAATATTGAATTTTCAATAATCCGTACATTAAAGATAAATTCGCTGTCAGCATTTATTTCACTTTCGACAGTGGTCGCATGTGTAATTTAAGTCTCATAATCCTCATAATGTATGTATAATCGATAATTTAATTAGATTAATCAGAGAAAATATTCTCTGATTCAGAAAATATACTCCTATAATATAACGTTATTTCATTAAATACAAGTACATTGCTGCTCTATCAAGTACTAATCGAGGAGATGATTAATCACCATAGAAGAGCCGATTTGTCTTGTCCAATATGATCTTTAACGATCAAATCGAAATAATTTTAAAATGTATTACACAGCTGTAATTTGAACACGAAAAATTTAAATATAATTTAGAAGCACGTATATTTGACAAATAAACGCTGTTTTCTTTCAATCTTTATATTTCTAATTTAATAGCAATTAAACTAAAAAGGTTAGATTTTATCCTGCTAATAATTATATATAAATATTTAAATGAAAGAATTGACGTTTCTTTATCTATATATATCTATAAATAATTATATCTATGAAATAACAGCTATAAGAGTATTCCTTTCGTTAATTTTTTACTGTATTTCTTAAAACATGTCTGTATACACTTGTGTGTTATAGTCAATCTTATTCTCTTTTTAGATTATCTATAACTTTAGAATAATTTATGAGTTATAATAAGTATTGTACGCACCTTGTGATCAAATTATATTGGTATATTTGAACACTGCACTTTCATATTCATTACTATGTTATGTGCATATATTATATTATTTATTTAGTATAACTATCACATTATGTGCAAATAAATCATTAAAATATATAATTATTGCAATTATCGTGAAACCATTGATTAATCCAGTCTATTCATGATTGGTTGTATATCTTTTAATTATAGATTTTGAAATTTTCAAAAAATTTGACTAAAGTACCAAATGGAAATCAATTTAGCCACTGAGAATAATTGAAATATGTATTTAAATAATAAACTCACCTTTTTGATCGACATCATAAAATACATTAATTTATTGGATTTGTAATGTGACTATATTAACATTACCAAATAATATTATTTTAACGTAATAGCAGTTATTCACATGTATTGTTTCCAATACAAAGCCATAATCAAGTTTAGCACAATAAAATAATATTTGCGTAGCACTCTGTGCCTCTAATGAACAATATTACAATAGAAGTGGAAGTAGTACAATAAATACGTTAACATGAGTACCTATGTAATTTATTTAATTATTTCACTTGTGACGGAAAAAAGCGTATATTAGGTATTCTTATCAAAAGAAATAACGGTGATTCAGAGACATATTTTAACAATCTGTTGAAACCCACATATCTCTTAAGTGATTGTTAAATTAACAGGCCTAGTTTCACTTCTCTCTGTATATGTATATGTATATGTATGTATATATATATATATGTATGTATATATATATATATATGTATATATGTATATGTATGTATATATATATATATATTGTATATACTATGGCCTGTTTCAAATTAGTGAAAACGTAGTACCATGAATGTAGTAGTTAAATTTGTATCAAGCAACAGCAAGTCGATTAACGTAAATTCCTTTGATCAGGAACTACTTTGACTTTGGAATATTGTATAGTCGAATGCCTCGTCGAATGCGTTTGTAATTTGTTGAGATTGAACGTACATAAATCTTTAAAATGAACTTTAATACAATAAAACAGCAATACTAAATACGCAATACTTTTTAAGTGTTACAATTAAAAAGATATATTACAATTAAAAATTATTTGTAACAATTAAAAATATAATGAAAAGGTTCATCTCTGATAAATAATGTTTTGTCTGTTAGTCACAATGAAACTGCATCATTAATGTTGAGAGAATTGTTCATTCATTTATCAATAAATGTATATACACACACAATAAATACACAACCACACACACCCCACACACACACACACACACACACACACACACACATATATATTTATAGACATTTTGCATTATTGCATTCGTTTGGAAATTTGTAAATTATAATTGTACTTATGAAAGTGATAAATGTTCAGAAAGTGAATGACGAACTGGACAAATTGGTATCGCTTGTTTTAAACTCTCATCAAGTGTTATTAACGAACAGATTATTTATGATTTGTTGGTGTTTGATCTAAATCGATGAATAGATTATTTACGACTTTGCGTGTTCGCGAAAATTAATAATTCCTAATGAAATGTTGAATTCTCGCTTGTAACAGCAAATGACATTTAAAATTGGATGCGTAAAATTATCAAATATGAACGCTGTCTCATTTGACAAATGTTAAATTAATATCCAGTTTTATTTAATTATAAGTCTGTGATCACATTTATTTTTTTCACCAAATTGTACATCTATTTCTGTACAATGCTGTAGCACATATTAGTGGAATATACCTTACGATTTCACATATCAATCTATTAATCCGTACTGATACAGACGTAAATCCAGTTAACGTAATTAAACGCGCAATTCATCAAGATTAGTCACCTCCGTAGAACTATATTTGTAACATTATTCTGATCGTGATATTTGTGAGGAACTTAACACGATTCCGCCAATCCTAAACCATTAATATTAACACATCTACATTGGTTGCAAACCAGAAATCGGTCGCATTTGTTTCGACCAACAATTACGATGCTAATAACGACAATCCTGATAAATTGAGGCTTCCGCATTATTGGCCGCAAAGATATTTCGTCGGTAATTACAATATCGCTAATGATTACACTACCGTAATCGGAGATACTTGCTTGGGAATGTTGCCTTGGCTACTGCGGGTCAACCCTTCTATATCGATAGTCAGCTTAACCACATATTAATTAATCAGGTTATTATGAGCGTGTGGAATAGGCTTCCATAGTTTCATAATTAATGGAAAACATTCTATCCTTCTAAATAAATATAGATTTAAACAAGAATGACGAAAAAATTTCTCCTTTATATAATAGCTATAGAGATATAAATCTGATCATGTCTGGCCATATACGGCTTTATTCTACTGAAAAATAGATTGCATCTGTTTATGTATAATCATTTATTAATTTAATTAGCGATATTTAATTTCTTACGATGTTTACATTATTATAAATATAATTCTTTTCAATTTGCGGAGAATACTTCTATGAAGTAATAATAAAAAAGTGAGATTGTAAGAAGATTGTAAGAATATCAGAAAATTATAAGAATTAAAATTTATCGGCCATTATATCATATAACTGTTTTAAGATACGTTTATTAGAATTTAATTAGAATGTATACTTTACATTTATTAAGTATTCGAAGTTATTACGTATTTCGAAATATTAAAAATATTATCAAACATTCATAAATAAATGAGAATTCCTCTATTCTTGTTATATTGTAATAATGATAAGATATAAAAATTTATACAAAATGCTCGGAATAATTATTTATTTGAAAGTAATAATTATGAACTGAATTTGTTAACTATGTAATTAGATTAGTAGAAATATTGTTGTTATAGTATTAATATAACGTGAAGGCATTATTAAAAAATTATATTTGCATGTATTATAGTTTAATTATTCGTTCGCGTTTAACCGAACATTTTTCATAAATTTAATACGCAGCAGTTTTACTTTCAGTCGTAAATTTCAAAGTTTTTCCTTAATTGGAATTCGTACAAGAAGGATTTGATATTACATCACGACAAAATAATTCGAATAGTAAAAAAAATGCAATGTGATTTTCAAACTTCTACTATAACTTTATATTTAGCAAAGTATAAATTGACGAGATAAGTTTAATTGAATGCATACTGAACGTTCCTTGTAAATATTTTACAATTAGTCTAAAAGCTTGAGCAGAGTATATGTAGTAGCGTTCCTGTAAACACGAAACTAACGACAGTTGACGTTTAGCATAAAACGAGCTTAATCGATAACCATTTAATCGATCGCTTATTCACGACACTTAGTATTTAAATATTTAAAATGTTTCACAACTAATCAGATTTGCAAGTTATATAATTATTTAAATATCATTGATTTTATTCAATAAAATCAGAT